GGCTTCACTGGTGACCTGGAGGATGTCAAGGGGTTAAATCAGGTGCCAGTAATATGTGCTACAGGAAAAAACAACATCTAAGATCCAGAAATATGATGCCATAAGTCAAGATATGACCTAGAATTGTCTCAGACAGTAACTCCAGTATGCAAACTGTACCATGTGTCCCAAACCAGCAGACACCATGAACCATCTGATCAGCTATGGAAGATCTTTTTTTATGGTCAACCAGAATGACCATTTTCTGGATAAAACGTTGTGTTATAGATAGAAGCCATCGAAAGAATAGATGCAGCTCATTTTTTACAGGTTAGGAATGCAGTAAAATACTTTTCTGTGAGTATTAGAGTCACCATTTTGATTTCACTCACACACACAGCAGAGAGTTCGTAGCAGCAGCCTCCTGACAGCACCACCTTCAGCCAACACAACCAGCTGCTTCTCCTGTACACGTGGACGTTTCTGCTGGGCTTTAGCTACACGCCTACGTCTGGTGGAGTCAATCATGTGGAAACAGGCTCCATCAAAGGGACCAATCAGAACAAAATTTCTAACTAGTGGAAATGAACAACATCACCTGTATCCACTGGACTATTGGACACACAAACCAAAAGTCATTCAGCTCTCGAAATTAAATACAAGAGAAACAAGACTGTGACCAGCATGCTGTGAGTTATAATCTTACAGTTACTCTAAGTATCCACTAAACTCTCCCATAAATGTCAATAATCTCATATACTCACATATTTCAGGACTTGATGTTGATCGGTGTTAGGGTCATGTGAAAGGTGTTCAGTGTGTTCTGTGTTATAAAGAAGCTGAGTTTTCCTTCAGTTTGCTCAACATTTCTCTCTGATCAGGAATCCTGAGAAAGAGGAAACTGACAACTCGGTTTGATTTGGAGGTTGTTTCCTCACATTACTCCTGGATTTCCTCCCCAGTGTTTTCTGGACTACACGAGCAATCAAGCAGCACCGCAGCAAAATGTTTTATACTCTGAAACTGAAAAATCAGGTGTTCACAGTTGTATATGAATGATACTGTGCCGAGCTTCGCCTGTTTGTCTGCATAATCGTTTTCATTTATTTTGAAATTTATAATCTTTTGATTTTTGTCACTAATCCTATTTAATAAAAACTTACATTATAAGCTCGACTGTTGAAGTTTTCCTTTTTTTTCCCGCTTTTGAGTTGAAATGATAACAGATCCAAGTCTCTGCAGGACTAACTTGCCTGCTTGTTCTGGCACTTTACACTTTTTCATTTAGGGCTTGGCAAATCCATTAAATCCATGGGTTCACGCTTGATTAAAGATTTTTACTGAATGTCAAAGTGCTCGCTTTAAACTACATTGCATGATTTTCAACAGCTTGTTCATCATCAAGTCGTTTCAACTTTTCTAAGATTCTTTAATGACTTTGATCTGAAAACCACCC